ACAAACCAGTTCTGGTTCATCCGTTTCATTTAACGATCCACTTTCGCCGCCATGCTTTTTCCGACGTGTGCGTATGAAAACAAAGGCAGTGCGCATGCGCGTTTTACCCATATTCTATTGCGATATTTCATTTTTCTATTGTTGCCCAAAATTATACCGGTATTACCGTGAACGGTGTGATATGGCCCAGCCCTACACAAAGCTGTGTATTTTGGTACACTTCATATGTTTGGCTATTTATTCTGTAATTTTCAAGGGTGTCCAAACAAACATAGCAACATAGTTTCACAATTTCACTCTAAAAATGGTTGTCTTGAGGGGATTTTGAGAAATATCGTAAACAGAAAAATAATAGTACGGCGACTGCAGAAAGTTGACTTTCTTTCAGTGAAGGCCATCGTGTCTGCGAACTGTGCAGATGATTGAGTTCCTAATTTAGCTGCTCAGTGTTTAATATTTTATCTTCAGAGTTCATAAAATCCTTTTAACTTCTAATAAAACATTTCCAGTAATGTTAAATACATAATGCATGGAAAGCAATAAAGCTAAGTGAGTAATACAAGCGAGTTAGCTGTGACTATGTTATGGAAAGCTGTGTAACTCTTTCCCTATAAAGATTCCTTCTGATGATCTCCCGTCTACCCGTAATGATGCGTTCTGACGCCTCAGGATAAATCAATAAAAACGTGGTTTGAGGACAATTAGAATAGAAAATTTACAAAAAAATTTTTTAAGGGTAGCTGCGTCGGCAGAGATCACCCTCACTAACTTCTGATGCAAAGCCAGTCGTTGTGTTCTGTAAGCAGGCCTGAAATATGACACAAACTGCACAAAGCTTAAAGCATTACTTTTAGTAGGCTTTCATAGGGGTAAAGAGTTAAGCCTTCTTAGAAACTGTAGCTGGTGATCTTTCTGTCAGCAGCCACAGGAAATGACATTTGTGTAATGAGCTCTTTGCCACGCCATTTTTACTGGAAATGTCCTCAATTGAATGCAGGCTCATGGTCACAGACTAACTGTTCTTCATGTTGCATTGAAATGAAAGATTAAGGTTCAAGTGAAACAGAGTCCAGTCCTACGCTGGACTCTTTCACTTGGATTAAACTATACTCTTTTAGGGAGTTATATAGACATGTGGCAGGTATGTTTTACTCTTTCCTCTGTTATGCATGTAACAGGTAAGACACTACTTGCCAAGGCTGTAGCCAATCAGACATCAGCCACCTTCCTGCGTGTGGTGGGCTCAGAGCTGATCCAGAAGTATCTGGGAGATGGGCCCAAGCTGGTGCGAGAACTCTTCAGGGTAGCAGAGGAGCACGCCCCTTCAATCGTCTTCATCGATGAGATCGACGCCATCGGCACAAAGAGGTAAAAAGAAGCTCTGAAAGTATTGGCGCCGCGATGTTTTACCTGTGCTGCCGAGGAGCTGGAAGGGGACGCCAAGGTGTTGATTAGTATGTGTGATAAATGGCGGCGTTTTCATTTATAACAGTTTTTTATATACTTTCACAGCACATTAACAGTGCAAGGTGATGTGCTGCTGCAGGGTTTTTGTCATCTCAAGTACAGGATGCTGAGTTTATCAATTACACTGCACAGTCCTTTCTTACACGTTTTACACTTCATTTTGCCTCTCACCCTGCTGCAGCTTGTAATAGTTCAGTCTTTGCAATAGGAAATGTGTTTCTATGACCACAGGCAGCTTGCACAAAGTGGTGGCTGCAG